ACTATGATTCCATTTCAAGTTTAGTAATTCATATATGAATCTCAATTCATCCCGCCTGGGCCAAGGACTTTGAATTACAAACTATGAAACACATAGGAAATTCACTTATCTCATAAATGTCGAATCCTTTGTTGGCCACTGACAAACTTCCATTTATATTAATATAATACCCAACATATCCCTTTATACGACTGTGCTAGCAATCAAAAGGATAAATCAAAGTAAAATATAATATGCACAGAGTTACTATCGTGCCTCAAGTCTAAGGATCAATCATGTACTATTGTAACATGAAAATTCTTATTCGACATAATAAACTTCCATTCAGAATTTTCATACGGTCATGTTCAGTGAACTTGTTCTCTAACAAGCACCCACATATATGTATTTGCGACCCACGCTAATGTTGATGGAATGCAACATTCTTGTTAAACAAGTATACATCATATGTACAAGTTTTTCCGGATTATTCGATATCCCATCTCAAAATATCCAACGACTTGGAACTATATTTAAGATTACGGCTTTAAAGATATGTTCCATGATTACCATCAAATGCGCAACCATGCCGTATAGCCATTAATGATCTAAGGACTTTATCATATGTGCAAATCTAGGATAAATGCAAAGACATAAGATAAAACAATGCCTTACTAATATAATTCCAATAAATTGTTTTTACAAGTAGAAATAAATCCAATTCTGATTGGAGGGTATTCTACTCCAACACTGAAACCACACCAGACAGCCAAATTCTTCACCCAAGCGGACCACCCCAGACCAGCGACCGGAGGCCAGATCCTCCTCTTCCCACACCAATCAAGGACTGTGGGCACCAAATACTACTCAACAACCTCACACAACCAGGACCCAAGGCCACAACCCACATCTCGCACCCGGCCCGACTCCCAAGCATCAGAAAAGAACGGAAGAAAGGGAAAAGGAAAACCTTACATCGGCCACGACCAACTCAATGGAGACAACTGGAGCCAGCCGCACGACCACCTCTCGCCATCCCGTCTGAAACTCATCTTGACATAGTCGACCGACGAGAGCGGCGAAACACTACAACGGAAAGGGACAAACAATGCTTTCAAAGACAAGCAGCATGGACCGGTGACAGTCGGGACCGTGGTGTCTCGGAGAGCCCGGAAGGGGGAGGCGCCAACGGAATTAAAGCGATGATTTGTTTTTTTGATTTGGGGAAAATCGCTGGAGAGAGAAAGGGACGGTTTTTTGAAAATGAGGTTTGTTGGGGGTGGCAGAAGTGATCTTTTCCCTAATGAAACAAAACATAAGGAATAAATAATAAATAAATAAATCGATAATGGTTGACCTTCATGGCCTTGCCGATCAAAGCTGGAACCTCGAAACAAAAGGGGGAAAAAAACTCCATTTATTCTTTTCCCGGAGTCGTCTGAAATCCTCCCGGTTAGATTCACCTTCATGAATTTTTTGTAGTACTCATTTTTTTTCTCAAAGAACATGATTTCTGTCAATTCGTTAACCCACTCACCATATACCATAAACAACTTCAAGTTATTTTCTTTTTGCAACCCATTCCCAATTCCCAATCCTCCAAAAAAGCCCGATCAATTCGAATTTCCACGACCCTCCTCGATCCGGTGCGGGCTTCGCGAAATCCGACAGAGAATCGAAACCGTAAAAAACACGCAGAAAGTCACTGAGGCAATGAAGCTGGTTGCGGCGGCCAAAGTGCGCAGAGCTCAAGAAGCCGTTGTCAATGGTCGCCCATTCGCCGAAACCCTAGTCGAGGTACTGCTCGACATTAACGAGCAGTGTCAGTTAGATGACGTAGAAATTCCACTAACTGCCGTTAGGCCCGTCGAGAGAGTTGCCCTAGTAGTCATCACCGGCGACAGAGGACTATGTGGGGGGTTCAACAACGCCATAATAAAAAAGGCTGAGTCCCGAATTTCGGAACTGAAGAATCTTGGCCTGGAATATACTTTGATCAGCGTGGGCAAAAAGGGCAACGCTTATTTCAAGAGAAGGCCGAATGTGAACGTGGATAAATTTATCGAGGGGGATAGCTTTCCCACCACGAAAGAAGCTCAAGTGATTGCCGATGTTGTTTACTCGTTGTTTTTGAGCGAGGAGGCAGATAAAGTCGAGCTCATATACACGAAGTTCGTGTCATTGATAAAATCCGATCCCATTATCCGCACATTGCTCCCTTTATCCCAAAAGGGTGGCGAAAATGTACATTCTGTTGAGGATGAGTTTTTTCGGTTAACCACCAAAAGAGGAAAGTTGGCCGTGGAGAGGGACCCCATGAGTAAAAAAGGGATCTTTTTAACAAATTACGAGTTCGAGCAAGACCCGGCTCAGATTCTTGATGCGCTTGTGCCACTTTATTTGAACAGCCAGATTCTGAGGGCTTTGCAGGAATCTTATGCGAGCGAACTAGCGACGAGGATGAATTCGATGAGTGATGCCACAGATAATGCGGTTGAGTTGAAAAGAACTCTTACGGTAGCTTATAATCGTGAGAGGCAGACGAAAATTACGGGTGAAATATTGGAGATTGCAGCGGCTGCTGAGGCTCTGAGTTAAAATTCCTGAAGGTTGGTTTGTGTGAATTTTGTGTTAGGAATTGTTTGGATTTCTTTTATAGTGTACTGGAGTGTATTGTTTATGCGTTTGCTGTAATTTTAGAGCTTGATGCCAGATCTATTGTTCAGGAGAAATAAGTGGTGTTATTATTCTTAACTTGGGTATGGAAAGGTGTGATGGGAAGTGTAGGTGTGTAAGCTGCTTGTTTCGGGTGATTAGTGTTGTGAAAATCTGTAACACATGATGAGCCAGTTGTTTTTTGTTTAGATTTCGATAAGGAATGAAAAATTGTTTGGTCTATACTTTAATGGATTCGTGCAGTTTGATTTGCTAAATAGTAATCTTTGTTGAGGAATTTGGTATATTGAGCTTGCCACTTGCTACTTTAATCTTGAGAATCCATACTTCTTTCATGGACATTTGATTTTGATTAGTAGATAAAGTTTTATTGGTTGTTATTTTGGTTCTTTTGCTTGAGGAATTTCTAAATTGGGATAAATGATCTTTTAACGTACCTGGCACTGGCTGTTCGGACAATTGTCCTCCCTTTTATTACAGTTAAGGTCTATTGTTTTTCCCTTGGTATGATCAATCGAATGCATCAAACTCATGAGGCATCATAATCCGAGCGGCACAGTGAGTCCATGGATTGTTAATTATCTTTTTTAAATACCATGCACTTTCTGATAATTTTTCGGTCATTTGGGACGTTGCAGTGATGTATTTGTATTTTCTAATTTCTTCATTTTCATTGGTTTCGACTTATGAGTTAGACGCGAAGCATGAATGATGAATGATCTTGCTGAGCTGCTAGAATTGCCTTTCTGGTTATGTAAATGGTTTGATGCTAATCCTTTGGTTAGATCCCTATAGGGATTCTTTGGGAGTGTTAGCAGATGGTATGTGAATCACCTTTTCTTTCCTGTTTGTTTTTCAAAATAAAGTTTCAGAGTTCGCATGCTCTTGTTAATCTTGCTTTGCTTCTTAATCCATATCGGGATGATGGTTATTTTTGCTGGAGTTTATTTGTAACTTGTGGACAGTGGATTTAATGATGCTTATATAATTCATTTTACCTGTTTTAAGACCTCTCATTCACCTCAAAAGTTATCTAAACTATGAAAACAAGAAGTGATGCAATAGCTTCTAGCTCAAATCTTCACCTTTCATAAGTGTATCACTAGTTAATCCAATGTTTGATCCTTGTACCTAGCTCACAGTCCCCTTGTAACAATTCAAAAATAACCTAAATATTTCAATCTGATATTAAAAAATTAAATGAAAATATTATTTCATGTTATTTTATGTTAATAAAATTACTTACTACATATTTATAATTATTTTATGAGAAATTTTAGTGAGTTCACTATTTTTAAAGTTGTATTATTAGATAAATTTAATTAATTCTTCATTGAATAAATAATATTTTTATATTTTATGTATGAAATATGAATGCCAACTTAAAATCATTGAAAGAATATTAGATTTTATATATTATTTATAAACAATGAGTAGTTATTAAAAATTGTATTAAGTTTTATTTATTTAAAGAACGAATATTAGAAAAATAAGAAAAACTATATTTAAACTAAAAAATAAATATATACTGATATTCAACTAGTATGCTAAAATATATTTATTTCTTAATCTTAAATGTATATGAAATGAAAAACTAAAAAACTTCTAATTTCAGAAATTAAACAAAAGCATAAAAATTGAGAGCGAAAATCGAAATGTCATATTTGTATATATTATTTATTAAAAATAAGTAATAAATAAAATTTGATTAGTTTTTGTAATAAAAAAATATATGAAAATGACTTAGAAAGGGGAAAACAATAAGAAATATTGCATAAACAATAAACTAAAAAAAAAAGAATAGAATTTGTATTTGGAAATAAAAATTAATATTAAACTAGTATGATAAAATATATTTAATTTGCAATATTTAATGTAGATAAATTAAAAAAAAAAAAAAGGAATAGAAAAATGTCTATTAAAAGTGGAATGTCACATTTTGAACTTGTTTGGAAACACTTATCAAATGGACCTTTGAATACAAAAGTCCATTTGAATAAGGGAAAAAAAACTTTTTGCCATCCGAACTATAACGATTTAGGCGCATCACCATATAAACTTTAATTTTTTACAAACCACCACCTAAACTATACGGGTTTGTCAAATTGCCCCCTAAACGGGGTATAAAAGTGGTTTTGTCTACAAATAGCTGATTTTTAAGGGCATTTCAATAATTTCACATATTTTTCAAAAAAAAAAAAAAGAAAACAAAAATGAAGAGGAATAAAAAACGGTTGTCTTTGCATTCATAAAAAACGGCCTCTGATACTACTTCCATTCCCGTTTCATCTGCCCGAGCATGCTCGAGACCAGCAGCAGTAGCGTGAGGAGAACAATAAGCACGATTAACCGTTTTGCACTTGCGGGCCCGTGGACTGAGGAGGCAAACATTCAGGGAAGACACGAGGCTCACATATGGTCGGGCCCCTGTAACCACTCATGAAGCCCGTCCTTTTTACCATGCACTGGCTTGACCCATCCTTCATCGTGACCCATTCTCCATCGCAACACATGTACAGAAGAAATTCTTACATTCCTTCGAGTTGTACCCGCAAACACTGTACAATCCAAAAACGCCATTTGTTCCTCGTCCATGTAGAAGGAGTTCGAGCTCGGCGGTAGAGGTAGATGCGTGAACTCCGATATTTTGCCTGCTGCGCGAAAGGCGGAGTCCAAGCGGCGCTGGACATGAGCGGACGATCAGTGGCGGAAGCTTGGTTGGCAAAGTCCCGCAGGAAGGCACGGAGCTCCGAGGCGACCTCCACCCCATCATCGCCGGCAATGCCGTCGGCGACTGCATAGGTGGCAGCGAGCTCCACAAGGAAGTCGAAGCGGAGTAGAAAGGTGACGCTGTCGAGGGAGCCACCCCTCGAACGCTCTCCGACAGCCTTGAGGATCTCGATGCTAACGGCGGCGAGGACATGGCGGGGGATGAAAGGTTCAAGCAGCCCTGAAGCTATTTTCTCGCTCTTTTTCCCAGCAAATATCACAAGATCACACCTTTGTTCACTTTTCTTTTTAATGGTGAGGAAAATATAGTCAGCCAACAGAATAAACAAGTAGTGATTAAAAACAAATGAAGCATTAGAGTGCACCTGGTTCTTGTTGGCGTAAGTTGAACAGAGCATGATCAAGCACAACTTTAAAATCGATTCTCTTCCCAGATTCCCTTACGATTAAATCCCCTTAATTTATTACCAGGCCGCCAGTAATTGTTTTTGTCTTCCTTTATTTTTGTAGATTTTCTCTAAAGAGGTGCAGATATGGGGAAATAGTAAGGTGGGAACATGCAAACTGGTAATGATAAATTGAGACTTTTTTTGACGCATACAAGGCCGACACTTTGTGGTGTGTGTAAGTGTGTTAATTATTGTGTTTCAATGTGTACAGAGTGAGTAGAGCAAGGGTCAAAAGAAGATGGAGAGATAAATATAAATAAATATAAACAAATAAATGGATGGTTGACTTGAAGAGAGAGCGGAAGAATGCATGTAGCAGTGGGGTCAACTTCAGTGTTTTCATTTTTCTTTTTTTTTTTTTTTGAAAAATATGTGAAATTATTGAAATGCCCTAAAAAATTAGTTTTTTTGTAGTCAAAACCACTTTCATATCTGGTTTAGGGGGCAATTTGACAAACCCGTATAGTTCAGATGGTGGTTTGCAAAAAATAAAAGTTTATATGGTGATGCGCGAAAATCGTTATAGTTCAGATGGTAAAAAGTTTTTTTCTCGTTGAATAAATATTCATGTTTCAATCCTGATCTCTCTAAAGGTTGTCGCCCATGTCTCTCTCCCCCAAAAGAAAAACAAAACAAAAAGAAACCAGATCTGATTTCTGCTCTCCCCCTCTTACCGGCGACCGATGCGGCCCAGTCCGGCCATGGCCAAGGTTGGAAGAGCCCGTCTCGCCCCCTTTCAGCCTTAGTGTGGGTGCGTCCGCAGCTGCGACGCCACGCTTCCAACTCCCGCTCCGGTTCGGGGCCATTGTCCTACTTCTCCCTCCTCCGGCTTCGCGCCGGCTGAGAGTCCTCTCTGCAGGCGCCTGGTTGTCTTCTCTGACTGGAGTCTCCCAGCGAAAAAACGCCTCTTTTCTGCCTCGGTGGCATGGTTTGTCCCGCCGGTGTCGTCTCCCGTGGCGGCTTCCCCCCCGGCGACGTTGAAGATCGATGGATCCCAGATTTGGACTATGAATAGCCTCCTCACCAGATTTCCAGATCTGTCTACGCAGTTCGAGTTTGACTGTAGTTTTTGGGTCTGGAGTCTCAGTTTGTAGTTCTGTTGGGATTTTGTGCAGCGGGTCGTGGCTCGTGTGCCGGGATGGTTGGTCATGCGGTTTGCCTGGTAGGTTTAGTGGAGGTCATAAACTATTTGCATGGTAGGTGTGCGTTATTTTTATTTTTCGTAGTTTTCGTTTTGTTATCTAGTTGCGTTTGACTTTTAGTCTCCTTCATGGAGTTTTAGTCTCATTTATGAAGTTTTATATTTTGTCCGTATTTGTGTCTCCTTTACGGTGTTTGTACCCCATTGGTCACCTGTGATTCCAATGGGGGTTTGTCCAGACTTTGTTCTGGTTCTAGTAATGTCAGTTGACACTTCGACTATACTCTTTTCAGTTTTATGTTATTAATATAGTTACCATTTGACAAAAAAATATTCATGTTTGGTGTTAATTAAATTAAAAATAGACTTATGGATAAGTTATTTATCCAAAAAGTGCATTACATAGAAGTAAATGATGAAGACTTTTGTAGAAGTCCATTATGAATAAATTCATTGTTAAATATTGATTAATTTTTTTGTCTCACACCGGATGTGTACAAAAAATGTGTAGGATCTTTTTGGTACAAATATGTCCCCAGCCTTTGGATTACAATTGCACTCTATTCTATTTTCACATATTTTAGACGAAATCTTTAATTAAGGAATCATAATTTGTGGGTTATTTCATCATATTTGTATTTTGTTGTGGATTTTAGTGAATTTGGCATTGCGGTTGGCGGTGCCCAAAAACGTAGATAATATTGGCCGAACTCCGTTATCAGTTTTGTGTGTTTTTATCCTTTCTCGTCTCTGATTTATTTGATTTGTCTTATTTTCGTTAGCAGTAGTGCTTGTCATATTTTTTGTAGGGATATTTTTGTCCATTGTACTTGTTGTGATACCCCCAACAAGTGGTATCAAAGCCGAAGATTCGTCCTAGGCTCATTTGATGTGGCAAGCGCTACATTCGAGTTCGAGATGTCCAAGGAGATCAAGGGCGCATCATCCTATGCACTCATTCCGGCATGGACGGTGATGCCTAACGCCAGACTCCCGGTGGAAATCTTCAATGAACAGGATCATTTCGGCATGTGACAATGCGAGGTGTTGGATTGTCTATTTTAGCAAGGCGTCGACATTGCAAATTAAGAAGAGAAGTCAGACGACGTTGATGTGATGGACCGGAAGAATATCAAACAATTAGCATGTAGAACAATCTGTTCGTGTACTCGTTTAAAAATAAGAACTCTGCTCACACTCAGTCTACATTTTTCCCTATAAAACCACTTCTATAAATTTATGAATATGAATCATTACCAACTAATATTTCACAAATGAAAAATATATAAAATTTAATTATTATGTTAATTTTATATTTTTTTCACCATCTTCATATATTTTATTGTTGATCCAAATTTTTTTATCCAGAATCTATATTCAATCCCCCTTGTCGTGTATTCATGGCCAAGTAATCAACGAATAATACCTTCTTTTCTTCTTCTACTTTTATTCATTTTTATAGTTTTANAATGTAAATTTATTATTAAACTTGAATGGACCTGCAATCTTCTTTGTTCCTCCTCATAATTATCAAATTAAGTAATTAACTCTCAATCTTTACCAAATTACCTACCTTTTATCATGATGGGTATTTTATAGATTTATCCCATATCCTGATCTTGAAAGAAAAAAAAAAGAAAAAAAAAGAAAAAAATAACAGAGTAGCAGGTGGTGCAAAACAGTTCACACCGACAATGAGGTTGAAAGCTGGTTTTATTTACACGAAAAATCATTATATTTTATACCAACTCTAAACCTGTACTGTATTTCCAACTCCATCTTTTTCCTTCAGTTGTCTCCTTTGTTTTTTTTATTTCCCAAATCCCAGTTATCAGAAGATCAAATCATTAAAGCCAAGAAACAATTATCTGCATACATACACTGTATATAACAGCAGAATATGTTTCTGGTTATAATACAGTAGACAGTCGTCACCATTTATACGTCTTTGTTGACTTGAGCAAACAAATGATTGGATTACATTTATATTTTGCTTCGCTTTCTTAATTTCTCCACCTCTTATCTTCTATCTTGCAAGGGAGAGCAGAGTTTACAAGGTGCTCTGTTTAGGGCACAGTATTTGTTGCAGAATTTGGTCTTGATTTGGGTTTCAGCTTCTAATTGATAGTTGCCCGAGTGAAAATATTGCCTTCTTTTGGGTATTTTGATTATACGAGCTGGGTTCCTGGGATTGTTAATGAATTTATTGTTTAATTAAGCAACTTTGGATTGAAGTATTAAAGGGCATAATAATGTCTTGGAAGAGCAGAGGAATGGAGTCAATGCCTTCGAAGAGTTTTGCTTCGAGAAAACTCACAGTTTTACTTTGTATTGGATGCTTTTGTGCTGGGATGCTCTTCACCGACAGGTTTTGGTCTTTTTATTTATATGAATTTTGATCACACTGATCTGATCTGTTATTATCAGGCTTTGTCTGTTTTGTGAAAATATGAATTTTGTGGTTGGGATGTGCTTTGGTAATTGCAGATTATGCATATTTATATACTTATAGGTCTCTTTTGGATAGGTGGGTCTATTAATTATTTTATCATCGTCATTGTAAAAGCCAAAACTAATTTGTGCTAAAGTTTTGCAATAGCTTATAATGATTGCAATTTGTGCTAAAGTGTGGTAGTGGGAATTTCACAAACTAATTTCATGATTCCAGGGCTTTTTAGAAAACTTGTATGGAACTCGGGTTATTTTAACTTTGGAACCCAACATATTTATTTTAAAAATAGATCACTGGTTGAGTATTTCGAATATTTTGGTGTTCATACAATGTGACTTATGATGAGTTAGTCATAAATCTTGTATTGGATGGAAGCAAAAGTATCTCCTTTAATTTTGCATTTACTAATTTTGGACTCTTGGCTGATTTTTTTTTCTGTCTAGATACTTCAATTCCAGATTCGAAAACGAATAGAATTTCTACATTTCTCATTTTAGTGACCCTATAAATTTGCAGTAGCATAGTGTTGTTCCCTCAAATTCTTTGTTAGAGTTTGGAACATGTGAGAAATTCGTTGCAATCCATTTACTCAGAGATTACAATTCAGTCGCAGCATATTTTGATACCCATACCTCACTGTGTGTCAGAGATCCCTTGTATACTTCTACAGAACATGGACGTGATTACCCAATAATGTATATCCGTATGAACTCAAATTGCCTCACAGTGATTTCCATGGATGCAATCAATTTAGTTTGATCTTGTTGTTGACAGAATGTGGTCTCTGCCTGAAGCTGAAGATGCATCACTATCATCTGGGGTTGCTGGTGGAAAAGTTAAATTAGCTACAGATGGCTGTGATAAAAAAGTACTTTCATAATCATTTTTGCATTGAGCAACTTTTTCTTAAGGTGCAAACAAAACTGGTTTATGGGTTAATGATCTTTCCTCCCCATGTTCTTGTAAAGGATGCAAAAGGTGAGTCGAGGGACGCATTAAGAGAACTTTCAAAGACCCATCATTCTATGAAGTAAGGCTTTTGGACCGTGCGACGTATTTTCATCAGTCACATAATTGCATTACTCAATCATAGACGCGTACAAAATGTAGGGATTTAGATAAAACAATTTCGAATCTGGAGATGGATTTAGCTGCAGCAAGGTCTCTTCAGGACTCCCTTCTCAATGGGTCCCCCATATCTGAGGAACTGAGGGTGCCCGAATTGACCAAGAAAAGAAAATATTTGATGGTGGTGGGCATAAACACTGCTTTTAGCAGTCGAAAGAGAAGAGACTCTGTGCGTGCTACTTGGATGCTACAAGGTGCATAGTGATGCTATTTTTTGTTAATTTCTAC